AAAATAAGATGGTTTTCCAACATTTCCTTAGAATAAACTTCATTTGTCCAAACAACTTAGACACATCCAGTTCCATGAATAAATTTAAAGAAACAAGGCTCAGTAACATGGGGATCATATGGAAGCTTCTGGGGAACTGCTTGTGAGTTTTCATTGACGCATATAATAAAGTTTATTGTGTTGACATATCCACTAAGACAAACAGCTTCGTCTGTCCAAACGCTATTTTTTAACAATATTTAATGGCTCATCGACTTAGCTAAAGTCCAATGTCAAACTGCAAAGGCCCGGCATGGCCAGGTGGTTAGGGCGCTCGAATCGCAATTTGAGGGTAGCGGGTTCGAATCCCCGTCCCACCAAACATGCTCGCCCTTTCAGCCGTGGGGCGTTATAATGTGACGGTCAATCCCACTGTTCGTTGGTAAAGGAGTAGCCCAAGAATTGGTGGTGGGTGGTGATGACTAGCTGCCTGCCCTCTAGTCTCACACTGCTAAATTAGGGACGGCTAGCGCAGATAGCCCTCGTGTAGCTTTGCGCGATATTTAAAAACAAACAAACAAACTGCAAAAGCGAATCACGATCTTTAATGGCTTTGGTGTTTAGGTTTTGTAGTTTTGGGCAAATCATGTTCTAGAACAGTACATCTTCCACACATTACTTCCAAAATGATGCTTCTCAGCTTGCTTCGGATATTCTAAGCAGCATTCGCTACATTTTCCATAGATGCAAATGGCCGCCCTGAACGAGAAGCATATTTTATGGATTCGATTTATTTTTCAAACATCCTTAAAGCAATTATAAGTAAGTGGGCGTCCATTTTGTTTGTGGAATTGTCTTTTGACAAAGGTAATATTGCTATAATTTTGTTATACTCAAATAACAATTTATGATACTGCATATTGGCACGTATTTTATCCAAACTGCCAATCTCGTATAGTTGCAAAAAAAAAAGAAAGAAAACTAAAAGCTATGCTAATTTGTGACAAAAAAAAGTGATTTAGATATGCAATGTAATATGTTTTTTGTAACACGCTACATCGTGTCCAAATCATATAGACACTTGGAATGAAGTAAACACAAAAGGAAAATAACATCAAAATAAGTATAACAAGTTTTTTTAAAAAAAGGAAAAGGTTTTACTTAGAATTATCATTCCCGAAAATATGTATTTTTACAAAATACCTCATACGTCTCTGGCGTAATAAACACGGTTCGAACTTATGCACATATCTTATAATATTATGCTCAATCCATATTTAACACCACTTTAATATTTGAGTGTAGCCTTTAAACAAAAATCGACCAATTAATGATGTACATAATTTATATGACCAAAGTGTAACACGATGCTATGATAAATATATAAATGAAATGAAGTTGATCTGTTTACCAATAATACTTGCAAAGCTTAGGACAATATATATTGGTATATATTGTGAACTTGTGCTAAAATATGCCATATCTCTTTTAACGCTCATGGTTTCTTGAAACAATTTTAAATATAACAAAATGAAGTATATTTGTTTTAAAATGGTTTTGTAACACCGGAATATCAACAATTAATTGTAAAAATACCTAAGAGTGATATATTATATACTGTACGTTTATATTTGTCAGAAACAAATAAAGACCGAACAAGACCAATGGTTAAACGTGTGTTATTCTCAGCAATGATTTCTGTACCCAAAACTGCAAAAAATAAATTCCTGATGTGTGTGTGTTTTATTTAATAAATATGTGGTACTTTCAGTAAATTCTTGAGCAAGTCGTGCTATGAAAGATTTTCCTTTCTGTCTTATATGTTTAATGTGTGTGTGTGTGTGTTTATATATATAATATAGAACTTGAGAGATTGGTGTGTATAATTTGTTTGTAACGATATTTTTAAAATTATATTTTCACTTGTTTTTTAACACCGTTAAAGGTTATATTAAACTACAAAGCTGATGGTAAACTTGAAACTCCTTAAAAGTAAGCAGCTTACTTTGTCTCTCGAATATTGTCAGGTAATAAGAAAGATATCAATACAATTAATATTCAAGGAATTTATGCAAGCCGGGAGTTTGAGCATACGTGAAACGTCAAATTATAAAACTCAACATTTAAGTAATAAGGATGTTGTTGACTTACCTTTACTAAAGCTATTTCAGGTTCAGCTGGAAGTTGTTAATTATATTATTCTATTCAATGAAAGCGAAATAATTCTGCATATTTAGAAAATTACAATCCTTACCTCAATTCTACAGTATTATGTATAATCATTTTCAACTGTAATTATAAAAGGTTGTAAAAGTCAATAATTATAAAAGGTTGTAAAAGTCAATAATTATAAAAGGTTGTAAAAGTCAATAATTATAAAAAGTTGTAAAAGTCAATATATTTAAAGTAATTCAGTTAGATTACAAACTTGAATTATTTTCTCCTAAAGGAGGTATAAAACTAGTTCTGCTGGCCTGGAAAATTAATTTTCAAAATTTAGAAGAGTGTAATGTTCTATATATATATATATATATTAAATTTCATCAACAGAATGAAAAAAATATAAAATTTCGACCAAATATCTCAGTCCCTTGAGTCATCTAATCATAATGGGATCCATAGCCGCCGTACAAATCGATTAGTACTTGAGTCATCTAATCATAATGGGATCCATAGCCGCC